CCCTCTGTCGCCGCTACTATTCGTTCTGGTGATGGAACCATTTCTGAACGCCATCAGGGCAAATGCCAACATTAAAGGCATCAGGGCAGGAGACCAGGAAGTAAAAGTATCTGCTTTCGCAGATGACGTACTCCTAACACTCACACACCCTGAGTGCTCCCTCCCGCATCTTCAGAGCGAAATAGAACACTTCAGTACATACTCAAATTTCAAAATAAACGCTGATAAATGCGAACTAATGGGCATCAACCTAAAACCGACCCAACACAAACACATAAGCCACAACTACCCTTATCGATGGGCAAACACAGGCCTAACATATCTAGGCATCAAACTCGCACCCACAACGACAAGCCTCTATAGAATGAACTACATTCCCCTATTGGATAACATTAAATCACAACTCAAACACTGGGACAAACCCCACTTTTCCCTTTTTGGAAGAGTCAACATCATTAAGATGATGATACTACCAAAAATTTTATATACATTTCAAACACTCCCCATCGAACTCGGACGCCAGTTTTTCCACATACTGAAAAACATCTTCCTTACGTTTGTTTGGGGAAATAAAAAATCCCGACTGGCATATGACATACTCACGCGGGATAAAAAGAAAGGAGGTGTCGGGCTACCCCATATGTACAACTACTACATAGCAGTCCTTTTCACTAGACTCAGGGAATGGATAGATATAAAACACAAAAAATCGTGGTACGACATAGAACAAATACATGCACAGGCTCCTTTACCATCCCTCCCTTGGCAGACATGCCAACTTCAGCGGCTGACCACCATGACACACCCCCTTATTCCCCACATCCTAAAGAAGTGGAGATTGCACAAAAATACCTGGAAACTGTCACCGGGCATATCTCCATTATACCCGTTAAACCATAACCCGGATATATTAGGAGGCAGAGGGGCAGATACTATACTAAAACTATGGGGAATACAAAACCCACAAATAGGAGACTTGCTGACAGGAGATACACCCCCTAAAATCAAGCAACCCCAAATTCCGAGAGGCCACCATTCACTCATGGAAGCAATGAGATGCGCACAACTAAGACACACTATCACTCAAGCGGTACTACCATATTGGACCCCAAGAGGTTCAACCCCCTTTGAGCAATTATGCACGACCGCACAACCAATAAAACGCACCTTATCACAAATTTATAAACTCATCCAAACTAATGATAGGGCTCAAGAGACCCTAGCATACCAACGTAAATGGATGAAGGAACTTCACATACATATGTCACACCAGGACTGGGCATATGTCTTCACAAAACCCATGCACACCTCCAGTAGCCTATCAAGACAAGAGTCATTCTATAAACGTATCACTAGGTGGTATAGAACCCCGGAGGTACTTCATCTATATTGGCAAACAGTTAGCGAACAATGCTGGAGGTGCGGGGGAGAGGTGGGCAGTATGGAACACCTGTGGTGGTTTTGCCCACTCATGAGACCATACTGGGCAGAAGTGACCTCCAAGATCGATGAGATCTTAAAACTACCACACTCCCTAACCCCCTCCCAAATTCTACTAGGATGGCCACACTCCTTTCAATGTATGAAGAGTCAGCGCCTACTATGGCTCCTACTGGGAGAAGCAAACAACCTTATACCGGTCCATTGGAAACAAAATGTACCACCCACAGCCAAACAATGGATAGAAAGGGTAGAGCACATGAGAGAAATGGAAATGCTACATTGGTCCACAATAGGCAAATACACTACATACCTAAACATATGGGAACCATGGCTAAAACACTGGGCACTAGTACAGAATAATCCACAATAGACGGAACAGTAATAACAATAAAAGATACCTTGTACCTCCCCCCCCCCCTACCCACTTCCCATGTATATAGTACTTCCCCGCTCTCCCCACCATTCCCTACCCCCAACCTTTCTGGGGACACTAGTCACCAACCCTGCACCAAGGTTTCGTGTAATACAGAATGATGAGACAATATCAGCGGTACCAATATGCAAAGAACAATGGGGATTGATGTATATTTGTCTATATTTGTCTATATCGACATTGCTGTATAAAATGTACGAATCACAACCGCATACCTTACCCTCCCTTCTTGCCTTCTGTATCCCCGTTATACATTGTGAAATAACAATAAAACTCGAATTAAACAAAAAAAAAAAACTTCAAAGACCCATAACTACCGAACGCTTTAACCGAATGGGCTGGATTTTTGATATGTTGTTCCCCTGAACAAGAGCTATCTGGGGATACTGGATTTAAGGGTGTACCCCTTGGTTTTGGGTACATCCAAAACTTGGGTAAAATTGTGTGTGTTATAATTATGTTAAATGTTGATCTGAGGGGAGGAGACGTGGGGGTTGTACCATGTTGGTGATTGGGTATTGTGATAATTATGAAGGTGTAGCCCTTTCCAGGGCAGCATTGCATAAAGGGAGACCCCTGTCAATAAACCTCAGTTCTGCTTGACCCTTCAAAACGTAGCCTCGTCTCGTTCTTGGAAGGGGATTTATTGTACCGTTACTCTGCTCCAGTTTACAGTTATGCCTGACTATACCCTTGGATTTCGTGGATGGGATTAAGAACTCCATTACTGCACAGCAGCTTGCCAGGAAAAGGAGGTCTCCAACGGCTGATACCCCCTTACTACCTGGGTAGCCATTACAACAACCTTTGGTTGTCAAGAACCCATACTACCTCCAGATATTGGAACAAACTAGATGGCAGGATGGCTATATTCTAGTTACATGTGACGTTAATTCACTATATAGAATTATTCCACACAATAAAGGACTAGAAGCAGCCAAATATTTTTTAGAAAAATAATTTTTTAAGAAAGAACAAATAGATTTTATTTTGGAGGGAATCCTTTTAATCTTAACTAATAACTTTTTTTGTATCCAAGACCATTTTTTTGTTGTACCCCTTGGTTTTGGGTACATCCAAAACTTGGGTAAAATTGTGTGTGTTATAATGGTCTGACCATGTGATGTGGCCAATATAATAGAAATACCAAAAAAATTCTATATAATAGAAATACCAAAAAAATCCAAAAAGCCATACATAAACACTGGCACATTTTGAGAGATGACCCTATTTTGAAGGATATTTTACCTTCAAAACCAAAAATTATATACAGAGGAACAAAAAAAATCTAAAAAATATTTTGGTTAGGAGTAATTTAGATACTGCCAAACCAGACCATTTTATGAATAATCTTTTAGGTTTTTATGGTTGTGGAGAATGTCTACCATGCAGAGCAACTAAACGTGGATGGGATTAAGAACTCCATTACTGCACAGCAGCTTGCCAGGAAAAGGAGGTCTCCAACGGCTGATACCCCCTTACTACCTGGGTAGCCATTACAACAACCTTTGGTTGTCAAGAACCCATACTACCTCCAGATATTGGAACAAACTAGATGGCAGGATGGCTATATTCTAGTTACATGTGACGTTAGTTCACTATATAGAATTATTCCACACAATAAAGGACTAGAAGCAGCCAAATATTTTTTAGAAAAATAATTTTTTAAGAAAGAACAAATAGATTTTATTTTGGAGGGAATCCTTTTAATCTTAACTAATAACTTTTTTTGTATCCAAGACCATTTTTTTCTGCAGATCTGTGGTACAACTATGGGTACCAAGTTTGCCCCCAGCTATGCCAATCTCTTTATGGCATACTGGGAAGAACATTTTATTTCCAGTGGACATGGCTGGACGGCAAACTTGGTGTCCTACCGCAGATATATTGATGATATATTTTTTATCTGGACAGGTGGCAATCAAGAATTAACAGATTTTTTACAGTTTCTCAATAGCAACGACTGGGGCATTAAACTCACTTGCAATACCAGCCATGCAGAAATTAATTTTTTAGATTTAAATATATACATTGAAAATTCGAATATTTGTACTAAGAATTATTTCAAACCGGTGGATACTAACAGCTATATTGATAGGACTAGTTGTCACCACACTCCTTGGCTCGTCAATACACCAAAAGGACAGTTTAAGAGGATAAGAAGAAACTGCACAGATGTAGAAGTATATACAGAACAATCGCAATACCTAATGAACCAATTTCTAGAGAAAGGCTATGAGGAAATTGAGCTAAAGAAAAATTTAGAAGATGTCAAACCTTTAGAAAGAAATCAGCTTCTGAAATATAAATCTAAGAATATCTCTCAAAAATGTGATGATATCCCTTTTATATGTAAATATAATAGAAATACCAAAAAAATCCAAAAAGCCATACATAAACACTGGCACATTTTGAGAGATGACCCTATTTTGAAGGATATTTTACCTTCAAAACCAAAAATTATATACAGAGGAACAAAAAAAATCTAAAAAATATTTTGGTTAGGAGTAATTTAGATACTGCCAAACCAGACCATTTTATGAATAATCTTTTAGGTTTTTATGGTTGTGGAGAATGTCTACCATGCAGAGCAACTAAACGTAGAAAAAGACACCTCTTGGACATAAGTAAATTGATAGGTCAACAATATAAGATAAAAGACCATCTTACGTGCCATTCTTAAGGGGTTATTTATGCTTTAAAATGTCCCTGCAATCTCCTTTATATAGGGAGAACAATACGACCACTTTATATAAGATTTGCAGAACATCTACGTAACATTAGAAAAGGCTTAGAGACACATTCTGTTTCTCAACATTTCAAAACGACCCATAATCAAGACCTACCCTGACCCTCTGTATAGCTGGAAGTCTCTCAGTATATCTGGCAGTCACTCTGTATAGCCGGCTGTCTCTGTGTTTAACTGGCTGTCTCTCAGTATAGCTGGCAGTCACTCTGTATGGCCGGCTGTCTCTCTGTGTGGCCGGCTGTCTCTCTGTGTGGCTGGCTGTCTCTCTGTATGACTGGCTGTCTCTTTGTGTGGCTGGCTGTCTCTCTGTTATACTGGCTGACTCTCTGTATAGCTGGAAGTCTCTCAGTATAGCTGGCAGTCACTCTGTATGGCCGGCTGTCTCTGTGTATAACTGGCTGTCTCTCAGTATAGCTTGCTGTCTCTCTGTATGACTAGCTGACTCTCTGTATAGCTGGCAGTCACTCTGTATGGCCGGCTGTCTCTGTGTATAACTGGCTGTCTCCCAGTATTGCTGGCAATCACTCTGAATGGCCGGCTGTCTCTGTGTATAACTGTCTGTCTCTCTGTATGGCTGGCTGTCTCTCTGTGTGGCTGGCTGTCTCTCTGTGTGGCTGGCTGTCTCTTTGTGTGGCTGGCTGTCTCTTTGTGTGGCTGGCTGTCTCTCAGTATAACTGGCTGTCTCTCAGTATAGCTTGCTGTCTCTGTGTACTGTATAGGTAGCTATCTCTCTGTATAGCTGGAAGTCTCACAGTATAGTTGGCAGTCACTCTGTATGGCCGGCTGTCTCTGTGTATAACTGGCTGTCTATCAGTATGACTAACTATATCTCTGTATGGCTGGCAGTCTCTCTGTATGGCCGGCTGTCTCTCTGTATGGCCGGCAGTCTCTCTGTATGGCCGGCAGTCTCTCTGTATGGCCGGCAGTCTCTCTGTATGGCCGGCAGTCTCTCTGTGAGGCCGGCAGTCTCTCTGTGAGGCCGGCAGTCTCTCTGTGAGGCTGGCAGTCTCTCTGTATGGCCGGCAGTCTCTCTGTGAGGCTGGCAGTCTCTCTGTGTGGCTGGCAGTCTCTCTGTGTGGCTGGCTGTCTCTCTGTGTGGCTGGCTGTCTCTGCATTTAACTGGCTGTCTCTCAGTATAGCTGGCAGTCACTCCGTATGGCCGGCTGTTTCTGTATGGCCGCCTGTCTCTCTGTGTGACAGGCTGTCGCTCTGTGTGGCAGGCTGTCTCTTTGTCTGGCTGGCTGTCTCTTTGTCTGGCTGGCTGTTTCTCTGTGTGGCTGGCTGTCTCACTGTGTGGCTGGCTGTCTCTCTGTGTGGCTGGCTGGCTGTCTGTATGGTTGGCTGTCTCTCGTGTGGCTGGCTGTCTCTTTGTGTGGCTGGCTGTCTCTCTGTGTGTGGCTGTTTCTCTGTGTGGCTGGCTGGCTCTCTGGTGGCTGGCTGTCTCTCTGAGGTGGCTGGCTGTCTCTTTGTGTGGCTGGTGGCTGTGTCTCTCTGTGGCTGGCTGTCTCTGTGTGGCTTTGCTGTCTCTCTGTATGGCTGGCTGACTCTCTGTTATTTGGCTGGCTGTCTCTGTATGGCTGGCTGTCTCTTTGTTGTGGCTGGCTGGCTGTCTCTCTGTGTGTGTGGCTGGCTGTCTCTCTGTGTGGCTGACTGTCTCTTTGTGTGGCTGGCTGTCTCTTTGTGTGGCTGGCTGTCTCTTTGTGTGGCTGGCTGGCTCTCTGTGTGGCTGGCTGGCTGTTTCTCTGTGTGGCTGGCTGTCTCTCTGTGTGTCTGGCTGTCTCTCTGTATGGCTGGCTGTCTCTCTGTGTGGCTGGCTGTCTCTCAGTGTGGCTGGCTGTCTCTCAGTGTGGCTGGCTGTCTCTTT